TTATCGACTACATTTGAATTCTAATAAAGCGCTTTCAATTGATATCTTATATTTTATTTAATATAAGCATATATATAGTGTAAAATATCGATAAAATTTTTGATTCGCTGACTTCGTTATTTGAACTATATTTAGGCATTATCACGTCATGAGTGTGACTTTGGGAATAATAATTCTTAATTAAATGTGAGCATTCTGACCTAATTGTCGTCGCTCAGCAGTCCAGACTCCAGATAGGAAAGAAGACTTGGCAATAAGGTTCATTTAAGGGGGCGACGGGAGCTAAAACACACATATCTTGATGTAGTGTTACCATCTCATACATACATATAAAAATATGTTAAATCGAATGTTAAAGAATTTGAATGCTCGACCTTTGCGGCAGCGGTTTGGTCGTCTGCAAGCTTGTTACATAACCATGCATAATATTTAAATTTTCGTTTGTTATAATTATATCTTGTCTGGGAGGATGTTTTGAATATTAATTACAGCATTACTAGTAATTTTCCACATTGAATCGGAAAGATACTGACTGATCTTTAGATGATGATATATTTCTCAGAATTTCTAACAGGATTTCGAAAGCAAGTATCATCGCCGCGGGAATACTCAGAGGTCGCCAATTCCAGATTGAACTGATTCGACTTCCGCATCATTTATCACTTCCTGGGTTGTGATGCATCGCGATATTTCTATACGGCGTTATCGGCGGTACGATTTACTTTACACTTCTGGGCGAGTGCGTATGATCTTTTTAGAACAAAAAGATCCCACGCTACAGGATTTTTTAAAGAGGGGGTTCTGAAATTTCTAATTGCCAAATTCGACCATAATAGCTAGCGGGGCCGATCGCAGGCCGGAAAACGTGGAGTTTCAAGAGTCTTGCGAATCTAAAAAACGTTTCAAGAAACGAAAAATTGCTATGTGTGGTACAGAAAAAGAAAGGGGATAGGGGTCAGACCATCAACCCCTTGGTCACAATACCAAGACTACAGCGAAGTAAAGTGATATTTTGGACCTCCTGAAGTATGCGCACCAAAATGGCGCACAACCTGAACTCACGTTGTGTACCAGGTTAGAGCTCAGGATATGCGACATCTTGGTGCGCATACTTCAGGAGCACCGATATTTCATTATAGCTGCATTTTTCTGATCTATATTTCATTAATACAAGTTATTGGTTCGACTCTAGTCTCAGCTGATTAAAGACTCGAAGTCTCTCGAGTCAACTACATGGAATGATTCAGACTCGACTAACCGGCAGTGCCCCGTGACTCGGGGTTTGAGAAGTTCTAACCAATAATACGATCTAAATTTAGGTCTCCTTTCAGATTCTCCTCCAATATCTCTCTTTTAGTATTTTACTAAAACCGTCTAGCTGTACTTGTTTTTGCTTTATGAGCGGTAAAATGTAAATTCTCAAAATTTATATTTCCGTAGGTAAAATTCTATTCGAATCAGCCACCTACGCCATCTCTCGGATAAAACTTTATTAATCCAGTTTCCAAAAAATATAGGAAATTGCGATAATGTACTTAAAATTATTTAATTGAATATAACGCAGCAAAGTTGAAGTCGTATTTTTAATTTCATAGGAGAGTAAATGCGATTATAAATCGTATTTATATGGCAGTATGGTAGGCCACTCTTTCGCGGATGGTTGTTATGTCAGACCAAGTTGGGGGCAGCTAGCCAGTCAATCAATCAAATCATTCTTAATTAGCCATTCAGGAAAAGCACAATAGTCAGAGTTTGCCCGGAATGGGCGGGTCAGCCGCAAAATGACCGCTTGGTGTACTTGTCAGCGGCAACCTTGTAATAGCGGTAATCAATCTTACTTGTGACTGTGAAGCTCACAGTAGCAAGTAAAATTGATTATCGCTATTGCATGTATGTCACTTTGTAAGTCGAACATGGAAGCCCAAATTACCTAAATGACTCCTACGATACCTTACTTAAAATATTTATTAGACTTGTCGAAGCGAATTTGATTGGGATATATTCGTATTATTTGCGCAGGATTTTAAACTTGATTAGACGTCTCCATTATATGGTAGATCCTTCTTCCCGTCTGTGTACCGCTAGTTAGTACGGGAGCTAGTATGGCAATCTTACAGAATGCCTCCACTTGAATAACTTGACGGGCGATTTTCGGATCCAAAACTGTGTTTTCCAAACTTAGTTTAAACTTTAGGCCACATCTCACACTAAAATATGTTACAAATGGTCCTGCTTAAGCCCCAAACCTATAAATATCATACAATTCAAATTGTGCTAACCGACAGCCACATGTCCGCAATAGTCTCTCGGCACTCTGTGTCAAAAGGTCTTTTAGACATTAAGGTAATAAATACCATCAATGGGAAATATAAACTTCTATTGTTTTTCGAGTATTCACCACTTCATCGTTAACTATTCTATCTAGTCACGCCCGGTCGCACCAGTCCATTTGTGAAATTCCATTAACTATGGAAAAATACCCGTGCTTTACGAAACTTTGGAAGGGAAATGTACAAAGTTTATGGCCCTTAAATTCGAAATCGTTTCCCCTTGGTCGAATGCAAAATTCTGGCTCCTCAAAGCCAAAGCGTCCCATGCTAACCAATAAATCAAGTCCTATGTGGTCTGACATAAGAGAATAGATAGGAAGATTTACCTAAGCATTACGAATAGGAGATGTTTGTCCAGTACATTCTATAGTATAGGCTAATTTTGAAGGGGCATGTACAGGATTTTTTTAATATGGTAGCCAAGGCAACATTTCTTCAAGAGAATATACTCAAATCCGGGCTACACGCACTCACTCAGAAGTTAAGGATCTCCGAGCAAAGTCACGGGGTCACTGAAATTCCAAGAGCAGCTGAAATTATACAAAAATAAGGCTTTTTTGTTTGGATTTCAATTGTAATGTAAGAAACTGTAATTCGAGGTTGCAGAGAATGGTTAAGTTGAAATATCGACGTGAATTAGCGGTATTATCTTGTTATTGTCGTACCATCAAGCAGTAACTAAAAAATTGTATTGAACAGCAGAAATGTTAATCAATCGAGAATATCTTTTCTACAAATATTCAACGAAAATAAAACTGTATCTCAATTAATTACATAAAATATACAGTGTAGGGCTTCCATAAAGTCCTAAAAAAATTTATAACAACTCCATAACAAAATTGAATTTGTTAAGGGACTTTATGGACACCCTGTTTAACCTAACTAAGACAAACAGAATAGAAGAAAACGAATCCAAAACTGCTAGTGGTGGTACAATAACTGGTTAGTTTCGAATTGCCGCCTATTTGTAATATTATATCTATAACATTCTGCAAAGTGTCAACGAGCTACTCGAGCTCGAAGGAAAATCGGACGTTGCGCAATCTTTAAATATGACGGCATAAGTTCATCGTTATATATTATTGCGTAACAAAGTAATTGGCCGGGCGGCACGCTGAGCCCACGCGGCCACCGCATGGCAGGAGGTATACGGGCTTCTAAGCTAAGATTAGCCTTTCTCTGAAATAGTAAAGTAGTGGTCCCCCACCTTTTTTCGTTGAGTTTTTCCCTCGCCTATTTTTGAAATCTTTATTTCTTCCTCAATATACGTAAGAGTTGATTTATTTTATTAATGAATCCTTAGCTAGTGAATTAATATAGCCTCTCGCTCCCGCCTTTTTACACTTTACGTAGTGTCGTAGTTCATAGAAAAGTACAAGTTACTAAAGTATTATTAACAATTAAAGATTATTAATAATACCACAACAAATGCAAAGCAAAATTTCTCCCCAAAAATGACAAAATCCCGCCCTGGAAGTAATAGTGATATTTTATTCATCACCGTCTGTAAATAACACATACATAAGTAACAGACACAAGAAAGGAAATGAATTACCTCGCGGTTGTGAAACGGGGTATTAAGTAAAATACATCATGCACACAAATTCGCAATTTTTTTGCAACGACATGCTTATTTTCCGGTCAACCCCGCGTATACAGAGACACCACGGGAACATAGCAAAACCTCCTATGGGTGGCGGAGGTAGCTGACTCTGATGAACGATCAGTGCGTAGCAAGACTCTCGTGCCCCCCCCCCCCCCCCCCCGCAAAAATAATTTGTGGAAATGACCCCAAAAACTCTCGGACATAAGCTAAAACAACGCTTTTTTTATTTCGTCAAAAAGCATAACATGTCGCTATAAAAAGGCAATGCTAACCTAAAATTTGCCGTTTATTTTGGTTACTTTAATTTTTTTCATACCTTCTTCTACTTCTGCCCTTTTTCTGCGTTTCTGTGCGCCACTGAGAGGTTTTGGTTTCGACATCATTCTGACAGCCTCCGTAATTTTGCCGGCGCGAACAAACCACAAGACGCCGAAAATCGACGACTTCCTAACATTGTTACGTAACAAAACGATTTGAGCAGAACTAACATCAACGTAATAAGATGTGCAATACTTGTTTTGCACTACAGCTTTTGGTTTGCGGCTTAAATTTCTAAATTCTAACCGCTTGGACCCCTTTGCGCCCCCCCCCCCGTCTGTACCAAACAACTTCGCGAATTTATCGTTAGTGTCGCTGCAAATGCTCTCTTTCCATTTGACGAAACAATAAATATCTTTCCGAAGTTGGAGTGGGCCTACTTCCTGAATACGCATAGCTACCCCCGACGATTATCAAAGTCCCTGTTCGTTCTACTCAGAAACTTAACCTAAAATTCTGTTGTGCATTCAGGTTGCTATTGACAACGGCAATAGTATGTGTACCAATATGGAAGTAACTAACTTTGTTCGCCTATTTTACATAGAGTTGTGTAAAGGGACTGAAACCTATGGGCAGGGTATGTATCCACTTGGCTAACACACACAGTCTCCGAACTCGTAATAGAACTCAAATAAGGAAAATCGGAATAAAATTATGGCCTAACCTGGTACTTGCGCGTACATTAATTCAAAACAACCCTCCTGGCGTGAATAGGACGAACTTATACTTTGCAATAGTGAAACATAAAATCGATTTTATTTCCACAAAGGAAGTGAACACTATCGTGAATCAAATGGAACGGATTAATCAGTCTGAGGTAGTTTATTTTTTATTTTATTTGAATACAACGGTCATCACTAATTTCTTTTGTGATGTCATTGGTACTGGCACCAACATCTTTTGTGACATCACTGAAATCATTTGTGATGTCATTATCAGTCTTATTTTCGGTGTCATCATCGCAATCATGAAAATCTTGTGGAATATTCAAGCATAATTTTTCTATTTTATTGCCATAAATTTCAGAAATTTTACGTTTATCCCATAAAAATCAGGAGGGACTTTCCGGAACGCCATGAAATGTAGATGCCGATCTTTGGAGTATTTTATTCGTTGGAATCCAATTTGTTCAATCGCATTTTTCCATCTTTTCATAAGTGCTGCATTTCTGAGAATATTTTCGGAACTAAATTATCATGTGACAAACGTCTAAACTCTAAGACAAGCACAACAATATGAGTTATATCCTATTTCTCCAATCAAGGAAAGTAACAAGGTGCCTTAGGATAGGATAGGATTCACATATTTATCCTGGGGGAAAGGGAAGACGATGCCAATGATAATACAATCATTTGGCGAACCATAACCTCCTGTCCGGTTACCAATCCATAGTGGGTACGGGATTAGTTAGCCACTCATTTCTTTACAGATGCATGAACTTGATGGTGGAGGAAGCCGCAACCGGCCAGCGGTTACTTGAACCACCCTACGAAAGCAAGAAGTCCAGCAATCTCTTCGCACATAATTAACCCTGCATAAGAATAGGACCTGCGGTTCCCAGCAGAGTAATCAGAGGTGCGTTGTTTGAGCGTATTCCTAACGCTTAGCACGATACGCCACACCGCCGAGCTCTTAGCAATGTATCGAACATAATCACAACACTCACAAGGCACTATAGTGTGTCAATTTTCAACTCCCAACCCCCAATCAAGTTAGAAATTAGCATAAACTTCGAAAATATAGGAATCTTACTTATTTTGATGACTCGAATCTGGAGTTATTATGAGTAAAAGTCCGTTTGTCTGTAGCACCTAAGCAAATAAGAATGCGTAAATGATACCTAGTGATACTGGATAATACAAATAGTAATACACATATAGTTCTACATGCTTACTCTGCGAGGTCTTATTTATATACCGTGAATGCATAGTGTCCATAGGGTACTCACTGCCGTAGTGTGTGTACCAGGTAAGGGTTAGGCCATAATTTTATTCAAATTTTCCTTATTTTAGTTCTATTACTTACGAGTTCAGGGACTGTCCGTGTTAGCCAAGTGAATATACCCTGCCATTAAGTTTCAGTCCCTCTAAATAACTTGATGTGAAGTAGGCGAACAAAATTAGTTACGGTACCTCCAATTTCGTACACACACTTCTGGAGCGCCGTTTATAAAGTCTTGTTACAAAGTTAGTTCTCAATAAATCTTGACCAAGTTTATTTTATTTTGATCATTGTTCATTTACGTTTTTTTTCATTTCAAACATCCCTTACCTTGTGAGCTTTTTGGCAGATCTCCCATCTAACTTGTGGACTCGGAATATAAGTCAGAAGCAGAGAAAACACAACAATATGAAAATAAGAAGACGGTAGGATTGAGATTTCCGGAGCTTGTTGTGCAGACCTGAACATAATATGGATGATTGCATTTCGACAGCTTCAATTCGATCAAGGCAATAGAAGTTGCTTTGATTCAAATATATAAATCAGTGCATTCAGTGGCCGCCAAACTTTTTTGATATAACAGATATTGAAGCAAAAGTATGTTCTTTTCAAAAAACACGTTAAAAATACGTGGATAGAACGTAAATATCCAAAATAAAGAAATGTAAATATTCAAAATAGGGCAGGCAAGATCAAATCTAACTTAGCTTTCACGCCCCCTAAAAATTGTCTACGACCGACCCCCCTTTTGGGGAGTTCCCCCCCTCCGTTTGAGAACCACTGATCTAAATTGATTTGTTATTTCAAATTCCTTCAGAGTATAACTAAAAAAGCCTTCTCTTTCGAGTTCCCAATCCCTCAAATTATGAAAATCTGTTCAAATCTCAGTTTACTGAATATTCATTGGCGTCTATTGTTCTTTGTTGAACGTGATGCAACTCTGGATATATACTGTTTTCAAAATATTATTTACGGAAGGAATTCAGCATAGTATATGGTGTTTTGGCCATCTGTACCGCGATTGCCTTTCCAATTTCCTACACCATCGAACCCTGGATTTTTACCTTGCCCACATAAGTTACGATATGTAATCATGTCCAAAAGAAAATTTAATTCAGTCATCAGCCTATAACCCACAGGGCTGTAGAATTTAAAGTTGAAAAAATTATGCTAATTCGACTTAGCTTGAAAATTATACGACTCTAATCTTTAGGTATATGGAATTTGGCGGAGCAGAAGTGTATGTACCAATATGGAGGTAACTAATTTTGTTCGCCTACTTTACATAAAGTTGTGTAAAAGGACTGAAACCTTAGGGCAGGGGGTATATTCACTTGGCGAACACAGACAGTCTCGAACTCGTAATGGAATTCAAATAAGGAAAATCGGAATAACCTGGTACACACAGAACAGGAGTACCGAAAATTCTTTCCCATTTAATGATAATATAAGAGCATTATACTCACAATGTTGTCATAGTTTGTTGGAATTTCTCTCCTTCTTTAATGTCAGAGGAAACATCGACTTTGATAAAGTCACATTTGTGAACTGTCTGTTGTAAAAATAATAAGAATTTCATAATGTTGGTTGTATTAGGATTACAAGTAAATTTACATTCGTAGAATAGATAAAACAGGATTTCTATCCCAGAGGAAAGGCGAATAGACGGCTGGCAAGCCACAGTCTCATGTCTGGTTACCAGTTCATGTCGGGTATGGGATTAGTGAACGACCAGTGGTTACGTGAAAGGCCAGTCAGTGGTCACGACAACCATCTTACAGCGGCGGGGAGTCCAGCAATCCTTTCACACACAACCACACAGGTAATAAGAGGCCAGTGGTTACAAAAACCCCCTTAAGGCGGCTATCCTTTCACACACAATTATCCCTCCCAAGATTTGAACCCATGGGTTCCGGGTTCAAATATATATATGACATAATATGACATAAATAATTTTTTGGTGTATTTTGCAACCAGTTCCAGGTTGGCCAGTTTCATGCCATAACTAAACTAACTGCCATCATCAATGATAAACTATTTCGAATGTACTGAAATTTTGAATTGCGATTAAAGCAAATTAAAGTTAAAAAAACTTACCAGGGAAATAGCTTGAGAGCAAGTGAATTCCCTGGAAAAAAGGTGTTTGAATGAATAAATCACCAGACAGAAACCGTTTGAAGGAAACTTGCATCTCACCTCACAAGCAGGTCTTAAATCTATAGCTGTTGTTTCAAATTCTTCATATTTTTTGAAAGGATCGTAACAACTGCCAACGTCCAGAAGTCGAAGCATATTTAGATGACAAAATGATCTGAGAATAAATAATAAAAAGGTAAATAATAGAAACGAAACGAAAATGGTGCTCCAGAAGTATGTGAACCAATATGGCGGTAACTAATTTTGTTCGCCTACTTTATATCAAGATGTGTAAAGGGACTGAAGTCTGAAACCTATGTCCAGGGGTATATTTACTTGGCTAACACAGAGTGTCCCAGTAATCGAACTAAAATAAGGAAAATCAGAATAAAATAATGGCCTAACCTGGTACACAGACTACGGGAGTACCTAAATAAATATTGTAAAGATACAATTAAAACGGAGATTTTACGTATTAAGATTGCAAAATAAATTGAAAACAGAACTATCAAGAAAGTCACCTTTCACTTACATCCTTCATTTCATCGATGTAACTTTCAAAAGGATTCGGACCGAGATGAAACTGGGTTGGATCTTCTTTATAATGAGGTTTTCTTCTTTCATCTTTCTCCAAATATTTATTCATCTCTTTTTCAAGAAAATATTTCTTGCAAGTGTCGACACACCACTGGAAAGCATGAAAAAACTCAGATAAGTGGTCTACACTAGAGCTCTTCAAACTGGGGGTCGGTCGTAAAAGGGCTTAACGGGGGTCGCGGTAAATTCTTTTACTGCAATAACTCATGATAAAACAAAATATCGATCAATTTCGAAAGATTTGGAACAAGTACTGAGGTACACCATCACCGAAGTAGAGCCAAGATTCAATCTTTTGTGCGAGAATATGAGAAAGTATATGAAATTAAATGTATTAAATGTATGTATTGTAAATTTTGGGAAATTTTTCGTATTATTTGATTTTACTTTATTTTTATTTCAGTTTCTGAGGGGGTCATGATGGAAAATTTATTTTTTTTGGCCGTGCCAAGGGGGTCGTTACGAGAAACGTTTGTAAAATACTAGTATACACGCAGAAAAAGATGAGATGACTCAAGGTTTCATTACAGTATTTCAACATCATCTTCAATTTTCCAAATTATAGTTATTCTGGCTGTGACAAACTACTTGTTAGAGCGTCAGACTCTCAAAATTAAGATCGTGGGTCCAAACTTCTCGCTCAGGGCCAAATAAATTTGGTAGGCGATGCCAAAGCAAAAAGGTCCCTATCCTTGTAATTACTGCAGTTCCTAGCATATCAGTGGTTCTCGTTCAAGCCTTGTTTGGAGTGAAAGGGCGTAAAAACGTTTCAGAAAAAAATAATTAAAATATTACATTTATCCGGTGAGTTCCATCACAATCTTCATCCCAGATCACTGTTGCCAGATCTTGCATTGATTTCGCATATTTGTTCAAGGTTTCCTCGTTCTTACAATGTTCCTCCCAGATTTTAGAAAAGTCGGGATCTAAAAGAAGGGTTCGTTTTTAATTCAGATTAATGTAATGTCGTGTAATTAATGTAAGTTTTTTCAAAAACATTCAAAATGTGGAATACAAATAGTTGTTGATCATTTCAAATATTTGATACATTTTTGACATCCCTAGACATGGATCTCAATTACAAAAAAATCAGAAAACAAGCGCCACCTTTTTGATATTTCCTTCTCAAATCCTTATGAACTTTCCTTATTTCATCAACAAATACCTTCTTATTTGGATCCATTCCACAATTCAAGCACTTTCGCAACACAGATTATTCTTTTATACTTTTATATAAACTATCAAAACTACATAATTTATTTTATTGAAAATATAGAAAGAATCATAGTTGGGTAAGCAGTCATTTTTGAACTAAATTTGCACAATTGAAAGTCACTCACTCAGAATTAAATGATACTCGACTCTCAAAAACATTATGGCAACTACTGACCTTCCACATTGCTAAACACAGATAAAATAAAGTGCACAATTTTATTTTAAAGCAAATATAGAAAACTTCATCGTTAGATGAACAGTCGCGAAATTTTAAAGAGAATTTGCGCAAATCGGAGTCACTCACTCAGCAGTAAACTACACTCATTTTTGAGTAAAACTAAGACAACCACTGATGACACTTAGTGGCCCGCAACCCCCAAAGAACCTAGGGCCCAGTTCAAAATACCTTCTAAATACAGAGCAGTATTTCATGTTGTTATGATATAAGTTCATTTTTATATAAGGATAAAAAATCATGATAAGTTACAAACTGATTTAAATATATAAAGTCATTAAAAAAAATAGGTAATTGGATAAAAAAATATAAAGCTAAAGAAAATATATTGTGTGTGGGTGGAAAGCAGGACAATAATAAATCAACATAATGGATTATACATTTAAGATTTAAAATAATTTCATCTAACACTAGTCAATGGTAAAAAAACAGACATAAGTACCGTATATTGAAAAGTGCAAAATTCCTGAACATTAGAGAGTGTGAACGGGGTATTGAATTTGAATTGTTGAATATAGGAATTGGTTATAGAAAGCTCCAGATTCAGACACTTTTTATATCAATTATGAGTTTATTGGGTCATTATGTCTTTGTGTCATTTCATAAATTGAGGAGAAAAAATTGAAAATTGTAATAAAACATGTTGAAAAATGCTAATCTGAGAAAAAGAAAATAGTTTCATAAGAAAAATCCAACAAACAGTGAATAGAGGACAATGAAGCCAACATGGAGGTATTATGTTTTCTATACCAAAAAAGATACTCAACAATATTCCAATACAAAGAATCATGGATTAGATCAATAATTTACCATTTCGAATGCATTACGAAAATTACTCAGAAAACCAAAACGAAAAAAATAAATGATATTTATCATTTTGGAGATAATGATACAAAAAATTGAACAAGTAGATAACTTGTAAACTTGATATAAAGCGAATGACTATAGTATATAAAATGTATGCAAAACAGAGAGGAATAAAAAAACAGACATGTGAAAAATTGATTCAAATATAGAGAAAAATATTGGAATAAAGTTGAAAAAAATGAAAATTGATGAAGTTTCAGAAAAAAACTGGAATTTGGAACAAAAAATTTCAATTTGCATTTGAAAGATGAGATAGAAAAGTGAGTGGGCGGAAAACAGACTTTACCTTTTACCACATTCCATTCATTTTTTGGGAGTCATTTAAAAAAATATATTCAATAATCAACTATCATAATACACAAATTTTTAGTCATTTACGGATATACCATTGTTTAATGGTTTGATCGGAGAATCATTTATTTCTGTAGTTTTTACTAGAGCAGAAAACCATCGTCTGTCCATTCCAGAGTAGCGTTTCGCAATCCTTCTCAACGACCTAACTTTTCTTTCGATCATATAAAAATCAACTTCCTCCTCTGCAAGGCTAACATCATGACGAATTCGTAAATTTTCTGGGTCGAGGACGTGTTTTTCAAAATCTGATAAATTTTCAGTTTGGCATTCGCTAGTTTTTGCACTGGGGGGTCGAAAAACTTTTTTAAAACTCTGTGGGGAGGAGATATTTCTTTGGGTACTGTGATCAAGCTTGACACATGGACGATAATAACCTGTTTCTTTGATCAAATTTGTTACGTTAGTTTTTTTATGTTTTCGCCATTTGAAGAATTCATCGATAAATTGTTGTTTTTGTTCTGCATCATTCTCAACATTATCAATATTTTCAGAAACAAGTCGTGATGATTCAGTGAAAGAACCCGAGCTTTCTGAAAGAATTAAATTTGTCTGATCTTCTTGTTCAGAATAATGTTCACTTTTGACCTCTTCAGAATAGTGTTCACTTTCAAGTTCCGTTGGTTCAATTTTTTCAACTTCATATTTTAATGAGGATTCTGCAAGCTCAATTTTTATATTTTCTCCATTATCCTTATCTTCAGTTATTGAATCATCTTCACTGACGTAGCCATATTCCTCCATTAATGATTGTAGCAAGGAAGAATATTGATTCGTAACTTTCGAGGGTTTAAATTCTGTCGCAGAAAATTTATTTGAGGATGAAACAGGAGCAGATTTACAGCGAACTTTTTTCGCTTTGTTTTTTAGCAGCATGGAATGATTATCACTTCCAATTCCCCAAGATAATGCATCACAGTGTTGTAAGTGCTCAAGCGGAGGGTTCGGTTCATGACTTGACAAACGAGAAATAACCTTAGGATTTGGACGAGGTCGTCTATAAAAACGTTTCCTTCTCGGTGCTGGAAAAGGTTTTCTCATTCTTCTCAGAACTTCATGATAATTGGGGAGATGATGGGTAATATTGTCGTGATAATATTCGAACCAACGTTGGTGTTCTGTGCACATATCAAACTGCACGTTTTCAACTTTAGATTTTGAATCTTTTAGTAACTTATCGGTCATAACAGGCGGACTAGATTGTGGTCTCTGCTTCCTTTTACTTCTAGTTGAAGGAAACCCATCAGTTAATTCCGTAGCCGGTATCGAAGTTCTTGATGGAGCTCTGGGAGTGTTTTCAAATGTATTTTTACCAGTTGAAGCCGACATTGTATGTTTACTTCTCATATCTTTCTTATTTTGATGAGAATATGATCTAGCAGTTTGCGGACGTACAAAAGTGAATCCACCTCTTGCTAGTTTAACCTGTTTGCTCGAGTTTCTCAAACTTTTGTGAAGCGATTCGTACTGTTTATTCGCGAGTTTAACCTGCATTCGAAAATCATCTGGTGTGAGAGGATTCTTGATAAAATTATTTGATTTCAATTTAGGTTGGTTGTAATTCAATTCCTCATTTTTATATTCCTCATTCAAATGTTTCCATATTTTCTTATCTTGGGGTGTCGTAAAACGCTTAAAATTGTCAACTTTATATAATCTTGTCCAGCTTTTTTCGACAGGTGAATGCAACTCATCACCGGTTAAAATTTGATCTTTTGTGAACTCACATAATTCTAAAAGATCTAAGAACTCAAAAAACTGAATCCTCCCCTTTACTTTAAAACTTAATTTTAAATGTTTCAACTTATGCATTAATTTTTTTGGTGAAATCACTCTCCCGCACATTTTTAACGTTCGCAAAAATATAAGTTCGTCAATTTTCATCCCGTTTTGATCATACGCCTCATAAGATTGGAATGCAAGTCGAACTTCAAGCAATTCCTTGAAACTTAAATATCGCTTTGATATAAATTTAACTGCCTCCTTCAAGCATGTCGCATTATACGTCGCAGATTTCAAGTTGACAGTAAAATGTAGGTCAACATGAAAGCAACGATCTTCAATACATTTGATTAAATCTCTTGTTGTGATTTTTTCTTTTTCATCAAAAAGATCATTCGGTATGTTGCTCTCAAATACTTCTTTCGGGAATCCCATCGCTCCAGCAAGATGCCTGAAATATAGTAAATAGAGAAACATAAGAAATCAATTCTCCTCTCAGTCTTCATTAAAATCGTCCATCACCACAACTGAATGGCAGGTGATTACACCACTCTGCACAGAGGCACTGATTTAGTTAAAGTAGTAGTCTAGTTTAGGTTGAATAACGCAGTAAAGTCCATTTTGGTATTTTCATGTTATTGGCAGATTCCCATTATACAGTACCGAAATAACACTTCTAACTGATTTTCAAGTCAAAAACCAACTAGGTCACATGGAAAGTATCCAATTCCTGGATTCAGCAATCTGAATGGTACAATTCTGCAATTTATTTTGGTCATTTCTGGCAAGGATTCCACCAGACAAATTTCATGATCTCCGGATCCCAATAACCAGTAGTTTAAATAAAAAAATAAATAAATAAATAAACAACGAATACTGACCTGAGTTCTTCGAGACTGAAGTAATCGACATTTTCATTGTATTGCAAATACATGTTGTGTCATATAACTGCAAGGCGAATTCCACCAGTCCGCAGAGGCGCAGTTCTTACCACTTCATGGCAGCTCCTGCCACGAACGTACCACGCCGTCTCCTGCCATGGTTTTATGGCGCTATTACCGGTATATTTACAAATTTATGTACCATATTTTAGTTTATCATGCGAAATTATATCTACTTAAACTCTAACCCTAACACCAAATCCATCCAAACTGTATCCATAAGAAAAACATTCCAACTCACCAAATATTTATCACCATCAGCAGATTAGGGGCAGCCCTGCTATTACAGCCGACCTGCCGTGGTTACGGCAGTAAAATTGGTGGTATTCGATTTGCTGCCGTAACCACGGCAGCTCGCTATTGGTTTGTGGCAGCTAAAAAGTCAGTCGCCGTGGGTTTGGTCTTAGTGGCCGTGGTTTGGAAATCCCGCCATGGTTTTGCGGCAGCTGTAGACGCCACAAAATACTTGAAACTGCACTTGAGTCCGCATGCGACCAGCTTCACAAGTTAGCAACAGAGAGGCATTCGCAACAACAAACATGAAATTACACAACTCTGTATTTCTATGAGGTGTAATTATACATTTGTCATAGCTTTTTTTTGTTAAAAATTTATCTTTTTTTGCGAACATAAATTTAAGAAATACACAAAGACTACATACCTAGATTGCCGGTTTCAGTTGCTCTTTACCGCACCGCGTGGACAATTTACTTCGTTGCCGTAGCAACAAGTCGCTCGTTTGGCTATTTTCTTTCCGCTTCGGCAAATTACCGGATCACCGCATCGGTATTCTTTTTACGTGGCAAATTAAAGCTTTTGTTGGGAGTTAATTGGCTTTAACAAGCTAATTTGTTGTTTTCAGATTTAAGTTAGTAACTAAACCTATTCCAATCAAAATGTTGTCGTTTCAAAGGACCAGGCGAACGAGGGAACACACAGGCCCGACGCCACATTCTGTGGCAATTGTGAGTGTTGTTTTGATTTCTAATAACGACGCTAGTTACGAACTGATAAGACTATTCATTTTGATATAATGGGATCCATTTATGTAATAAAACTGGTCAAGTGGTCATTGTTCTGGAAAGCAAAAGGGGCAAAATAATATTTTTATAACCTGTTTCTCTCTCTTAATGTATCACAGTCCAGCAATTCTATAAAATACAGAAATAATCATTTTTATTCACCATTGTTGATAGTGTGATCAATTTCAATTGTTTTCGATCTCTTCCTCAAATAGGGCAATATCATATTGTATAGACAGTGTGGTCGGCTGACGCAAATGTAGTTTTAGATCAATTTTCGTTCAGATTAATCTAATTTCTGACTATTTTTGAACACCATAACTTTTTTATAATCTGTCTGTTAGCTTCTCAAAATAATTTACTTTACCAGATATTATGTTTGAAAAGAAGTTGTTTGATAAAGGGTTAAAATCTTGAGACAAAAGATGAATTTTATATGATATCATGAATTAAATCCCATGATTTGATTGAAAATTGAATTAACTTTTGTTTTATGAAATTTAATATCTGAATCAGGTAGCGAAGATGCCGTCGAAAAATCTGCCAGAACATTTAATATTGGAGCGACGTAAGCGTGAGGATTTAAGAGAAGAAGCAATACAGATTACAAAGTACAACAAAATGTTTGATTTAAAGGTGGGTTCATTAATTATCAGCAAATTTCTACTTAAAAGATAGGAATTTATTTGGACTCTTTCATGATAAAAAATAAGTACAATTCGCAATTGGAAATTTGGCGAAGTTGTAGTGCAGAGTAAAAGTGAAAAACAAGGAGAGAAAAAATATTATCACGATTTATGATGATATTATGTGAATACATATATACAGGGTGTCAAAAAATTTCGCTTGATTTTATAGCAAGAACAATTACAAACTTTCTTTTTCTTTGTTTAATAATAGTTCTTATTGTGCTTGTAATTCTCATTTATCATCCAACAATATTTATTTAAACTTGTTATTATTATAAAATCAGGTGAAATTTTTATTACTGTAAAACTGGGCGAAATTTTCTGAACATTCTGTATATTTGTATACTTCAAACATGGTTCTGTCCAAGTATGTCATTGAAATATTAAGCCACTATTTTTATGCAGAATTGGAATCTTTTGAATCAATTTTCAACCTTTTGAATTAATTAACAATGTCTAACACCTAATTTCAGAATGATTGGGAAAGAGTAACTGACAGATCAATTCAGAAAAATACAGTTCAACGTCGAGTTAAAGATGTTTTAGAACAAGATGCAATCAAATTGGAAGAAAGAAGAATCAGGTAAAAATAATGAAATTATTATTTATTTTAAACTTTGCTTGGTAGTTCATGTGACCAATTGTGAGGAATTGCCTTGTGTTCAAGGCCATGAAATGATTAAAAGGCCTTAATCCCGAAACCCGACTTGGACTGGTAACAGATACGATAGGATTTATATGTTTATCCCAGGGGAGAAGAAAGCCGATAAGACAGCTTCATCATATAACGAACCACATCCTATGGTGCGGTTACCAGTCCTTGTCGGGTATGAGATTAGTTAGCCAGTTATTTGTTTTCAGATGCATTGACTTGATAATGGAGTAAGTCGTAACCTACCATCCTACGACGGAGAGGAATCCAGCAATCCTCTCGCACATAACTATCCTTGCAACCTGCAAACCCGCGCAGGGCAATTAGAGATGCGTTGTTGAGTGAATTTCTAACGCCTAACACTATGCGCCACACCGTCGTGTCAAGAGGCTGTGATCCGTATATTAGACTTCTTATCAATATCGACCTTTCTCACATTGACATAAATCCTTTCTCAATCTTTGTGCCTGGTAGACGTAACTGGACAATGGCCTTATATTTCTTCATATATATATTTAATTGACTTTGAACTACAAAGATAATATTTTTGTAACTTTTCAGACTGCGTCAACTTCTCGCGGATGAAGAAGATGACTTTATAAGAGAGATGGAAGAAAAACAAGAGACGATGGCTGAACGACAAGAAAAAATGAGAGAAAGAGCAAAAGTTTTAAAAGAAAAAAGGGAAAAAGAGAGACAAGAAATTGTTGAACAGAAATTAGACCAACAATGGAGGTTTGGAATTTATTTTCACTGGAAGGACTATTCTATATTTTTGAAAATCGCTACTGGTATTGTTTGAGAAATTTCAATAACCATCACACAGTAATTAATTAAAATAATCAATGTATAATATTTGATAAATGTCTCCAAACGCAAATAACCTTTTCATTATGCACATCCTTCGCATATTTTTATACCATAAATATATTTTATCCAGTCATGCTTTTCTAATAATAAATACAAGGGCTGCTTTTTATTTAGTTCCTATATACTGTTACTGGTACATAGAAATTGAGTTGGATGGCTGGACAAAATTTTAGAAGACCTACCGATAACTATTCAGGCATACCATTAATCATAGATATCCTTTGGGCACTGGATATGGAATAAATCCATCAGTATAAGAGACACTGACATGTAAAAAGCTACGATACTCGCGTAGTATATGTACCAGGTTAGGCCATAATCCTATTCCAATTTTAGTTCTATTACGAGTCGAGAACTGTCTGTGTTAGCCAAGTAAATATACCCCCTGCCTATAGGTTTTCGTTCCTTTACACAACTTGATGTAAAGTAGGCGAACAAAATTAGTTACCTCCATAATCACATACATCTGGAACGCCAAAGCTACTATTATTGGGAAGACCAGAATCTTCATTTCTTAGCATAGCGCTTTCCTAATTTGAAATCTCTCTGTTTCGAAAAACACTAATACATTTTATTCCTTACTCTAGGAATCAGTGCGAAGAGCTCCGCTCTGTTCTTTCACGACGACATCAAGATGAAGTCTGTATTGATCGGATGCATCAGCTCGCTGTGAAGTCTGACATGGAAAGAATGAAACAAGAAGAGGAGCGCATGTACGCTGACTTGTGGGAGAAAGATAGGTTAATGAAAGCTGCCCGAGAAGAAAGGGAAGCCCAAGAAATGATTAAAAGAAACCGGTAAATTGAATTATATTTGTTCGTCGCTATAGATGACATATATTGCCATTTTGTTGTCCTCCTCTATGGAGAAAATTTTGTTGACAATTTACTTAGCTGATTAGCTATATGGTCCTAATTGCTACTTGGCCTTAGCTCTTTCAGAGAGGGCTATAAGGCTGCCGAGCACTGGATATATAAGGTGTCCTTAAAGTTGCAAAGGAAATTTATTTAACATATATTGTTTTGGCCCTCACAGATGTATTAAATGAAGTAAAAATATTTACTGGTAAACAATTACTCAATAAAAAACAACAAACCTGGTTAAGATATATTGAGAACTGACCCCATAACAAAATTGAAATTGTGAAGGGACTTTATGGACACCCTGTATTGTCACAATCTCCAATAAAATGGCTTCCATAGAGGGCTATAAGGCTGTGAACAACTCTGAATACCCTACCTACAAAATGGTAGTTACTTTTCTGATTTTTTTGCATTTCAAAATTCTTTCACTAGAGCGATGCTTGATGTTCTACAAACACAGAAAGCAGCTTTGGAAGCCAAAAAACAAGAAGAAAAACGATTGGTCAAGGAAGAAGCTTTACTGCTACAGGTAATTCAAACTTTGTATTTGAAATGGTTGATCATCCCAGAAAAGATGATAAGTCGGTTTATCATAAAGCGGGCTAGGGCTTTTGTTCAGCTACCAGTCCATGTTTAGTATGAGAATAGTTTGACACAGGGGAATTGAGCAGCCTGTGGAAGGAGTTCTCAAATTCGTTTAATCTGGAACGCGCAGATAATTCCCTTTGCGTCGCAAAGCCTATACTCGAGTCCAATTCATTATCGGGGAGAGAAAACTTAGAAAGGTGATATAATAATATCATAAGCCTCTCCTCCGGTTATCATTACAGATTATTATTCTATTAGTGAGTAATCTGTTTGTTTTTATATCAAGTCCATGTATCTGAAACACTTACTAAACTGGTCGGGGAACTGTAGTTTGCCATATGATTAAATCTCCTTTATTTCTCTCCCCAGGAAAAATAAAATTTTATCCTTTTTGAATACAATTAAATTCGATTAATTTTTATTTTATGTCTATATAGGTAGTTCATGAGGGCCCCAACACTTCATGTATGTTGTTATGGTAATAAATTTTAATTATTTTTGATACAGGAGGAACGAGAGCTGAGAGAAATGGAAGAACAGAGAGCAATCCAACTTAAGAGAGAACAGCAGCGAGCTCATAAGTAAGAAGGATAAGCTTAATGATATGCGATGTCGTGGCGCTACATTCAAAGCTTCATGCAGCTATGGGCATTTTCTAATGTTTCGCAGACCAGTTTAAATTTTGAAACTTACTGCTGTCCGTAGTAACTTTGGGTTAAATTTTTTAAGATCAAAGTTTTTATAAATCATAATCCTTTACCCTGATGTATAGAGATGTGAATCAACAATTTCTTGGAAGTGCAGTCAGGTGGAAATTTTTATCGAATTTGCAGTCTTTGTATTCCATTTTTTCAACTCCAAATAATTAATTAACCAGTCTCAATGGCTTCAAAAATCATTATCGATATGTACAATGTTTCTAGAAATGCACTCGAAAAGTCCATGAAACTCAAAGGACGTCGAGCAGCTCAAGAGACTCAGGAAGAACTCGCTCTCGATATGAAGATATTGGAACAATTACTTGAGGAATCAAGAAACGAAGCTCACGAAATTGCTGAAAACAAGAAACGAATGAGAGAGGAAAACCAGAGATACAGAGAATATTTGGCTCAAATGGTAAAAACCCGCTAGTGCTATAGAACAGTGGTTCTCAAACTTTCTATGCCACGCGCCCTTTTTATAAATTGTAAAGTCTAATGCCCCACCTCAAAAATAACTAGCTATCAATAAGCTGCAAATGCAAAATATTAAGGCGAGAGTATTTTTTAATTCAAAAACGCGTAAAAATACAAAGATAAATGAAAAGATTTAAAAACAAGCAAAATGTGTCACAAAAGCTCTTTGCAATCTCTAACCAAACAATAAGAAATGTAAATATTCAAAATATGGCGGGTGAGATTAAATCTGACAAATATTTTTATTTAGTTTCATGCCTCCTAAAAAATTATCTATGCCCTCTTTAACGCACCCCACCGTTTGATAACATCGTAAAAAAAATTTCATCTCGTTTCTAAACAGAAAGAAGAAGAACGTATCAGAGAAGCAGAAGTTGACAGATTAATTGATGAAGATGTTGAAAAAATGTGGCAGAAGAAGATTGCTCAGTGGAGAATCGAGAGAGAAGCAAGAAACAAACTGATGCAGGATGTAATGGAAACCAGGAAGAAACAATTACAGGAGAAATGTGTGTTATTTTATCATTTTTTTAACAGTGAATAATTTCTAGTGGATTGGCTGCATGAATTTGAGCGGCTAAATAAATAGTACTTTTCAACCTTTTTTGAAACATTGCTCCTTATGCCATTTTAAATTTTCATTCCTCCTCACTATGAGTAAACACTCTGTTTGTGTATCAGGTTAGAGTTAGGACATAATTTTGGGTACAAATACTACGGGAGTCACTTGGCTAGTCCCTGAACTCGTAATAGAACTAAAATTATGGCCTAACCCTAACCTGGTACATATACTACATTCCAGTGTCGCTATCTTGGTTCACATACTACGGGAGTACCAAAAAAACAGTTTGAATTATTATCACAATATTACATCACAATTAAGTATTGTTACCAAATAAGGCAAAATATCAGCAATATTACACGCAAATACAAAGTAAAATTTTCCCCCTAGGACGGAATTCGCTACCAGTTGGGAAACACGGGGGTAAAGTGCAGTGGTCTGGATTCTTTTCTAAGGTTCTGACTCGGAAGAATTTTCGAATACGACTCTTTTTCTAACTCTTGGATAAAAACTCCCACTTCACAGACATAATAATGCTCAATGAGGCATAACATTGTATGTAATGGATGACTGCATTTTTTTTCAATGGTAATTCTGATGAGACAAAATCCTAATATCTTTAACCTATCCAAGCAAAGTTAGGTCCATTGAAACATAGCATACGTAGAATAATGCTCAATGAGGCATAACTACAGATTTAGTAATGCATGACCGCATTTTTTTCCAGTGGTAATTCTGGCTGAACAGAAGGAAGAGCTCAGAAGGGATAAAGAACAAATTACGAAAGCTATTGAAGAACATAACAGACTTGAGGATGAACGAGTGGCCAGGTCAGTTCGTCAATATAGAGCTGAAATGGGCAAACTATGGCCCGCGGGCCAAATTCGACCTTTTGGGTAATTTAATCTGGCCCACCCGATGCTTCCACAACCAAACTAAAAACAAATTTCGACTTGAAAATAGCTCAATGAACTAGTTTAGATTGCAATTTAATTTAGTTTCGGCATGAGGCCTATTGTTTTCCACTTTTGCAACACTGTGAATATTGTTCATAAAATGTAACCTTTTACGTCACACTTACATGGCTCTCCATTCTCGGTGAGCAAAATTCTTGACCCCTGGTCTAAAACCTTGCTCACCCCTGATATAGGGTTTTTCTTATTTATCCCGGGGGAGAGGGAATTTGATGTAATTGGATAGTTGGATTTGCCAAAACTGAGCAATCTACTATATCTACTAAATATTGATTCATGGATCAAGTAATTGCGCTCAACAAAACTCTGAACATGATTTTGTAAAAACGCATTTTATATCTTTCTCAGGACGAAAGCTATCAACAAAAAGTATGAATCTGATTTACTTGGACAAATTGGCCACCAGAAGGAGTTGAGAGAACAAAAATTCGATGAAGAGTTACGTGAATATCAAGATAGTCTCAAAACAGAAGCAGCATACCAGGCCCGATTAAAAAAGGTAAACACACATATCAAAGTGCTATGGTAAAAAGAAGGAATATTGGATCTATCAGTTTGGCTTATTTTGCCAGCAAGTGTCGAGTTTCGAACTTAGATAAGATTTACTTATTTATCCTGGGGTCGAAAAAACGATAAGACGACTTTATCATATGGCGAACCGCATCCTCTTGTACAGTTACCATTCCATTTCAGGTATGGGATTAGTTATTCAGTCCTAACCGACCAGCAGATACATGAACACCTCTACGGCGGCAAGAAGTCCAGCAATCCTCTCACACATAATTATCTCCCACATGAATCAAACCAGAGGTCCAGTGGCAATGCTTAACACGATGCGCCACACTACCTATCTGAAGCTTGAGGGAGGATTATTCATTTTATAATACGTGATTCGCCTATAATGAGGCGTTTCATATCTTTGCTCCAGGTGGGAAATATAGATAACTTTTATGTTTGGCTAAGAAGGCAATTACACTACCGGTATTCATTTTCTATCCTTGACCTGGCAAGACATAATGAACTTAATAATATCAATTCCATTTTTAGGTCTTAACATCACCAGACACGCATGACCGAATTCATCCCTCACGACGACCGAAAGTTGCAAGTTTATCTGTTACCGGGACAAAATTACAATAATTTCCATGAAATTATATTCGTTTTTGCCTTTTTCGCTAAAAAAACTTCATTTTTGTATAAATTTAGTGTATTTATGTTATTGCACTGTATAGTTTTTGCTTGTTGGCATTCTTTCAAATGCAAAATTAAATTGTCTTAGGCAGCAATGTTCACAATGTATAGGATATTAGAATTCATTCAATAATTCAAATTCTGGATTTGTGTAATAATATTGAACAGTGGTTCTCAGACGATGTGTAATGCAAAGGGGGGCATAGACAATTTTTTGAGAAGGCGTGAATCTAAAAAAAAGTAACAAAAATATTTGTTAGATTTGATTTTGCCCACCTTTTTTTGGATATTTGCGTTCTATCCACATATTTTCGACATGTTTATTGAATAAAACATACTTAAGCCTTACCATCTGTGATTAGTAGATTATCGTTAGCTAGTTGGTTTTGAGGTGGGGACATGAGACTTGACAAATTCTGAAAAAGGGCGCTGCTTAAAAGTTTGAGAACCACTGATTCAGAAATAAGTTTCATTCAAAGTAATATTATAATTTTGAAAAACTAAAGCCTCACAGTATGAACAAACAGATCGATTTTTTGAAACTAAAAAAATTGACAACTTATCAAATCATTGTTTACCGTAACTTTCAATACAATTCCAATCTAGGACACCCACCCCCCAGTTTTAAAAATGACTGAAAACCTTTTATTGAGGATTCCAATTTTGATGTGAAATGTTCGATTCTTTCTTATATAGTATGTTCGTTTAAAAAAAATAAACTGATAAAAAGAGATAACTGACTTGATTTTTCAATTAGGTAAGGCAAGGTGGTACCAAAATTCCAATAAACAAGACCAGTTCTCAAAATCTGTGGCCAGCTTTTCACCCCTCTAATATAAGAAACGTTTTTATTTATTTTTATTCGCCATGGTTATGATAAAAACCAACAAATAAAAGAAATCCATTTTGGGGTGAAATAATTGAACACAAATGACAGCAGTTTCTTTTTAAATTCAAGTAGTAATCGTGAATGGTTCCCCATGAAAGAGTCTTTGAGCTTGTGATAATAAATGAATATAATAAAAAGAACATGAGATACCCTGTAAGAGGGCTTCGAGCTTGTGACAAAAATATTATGATACACTTTCTAAAAGAGCTGTTAGTGTTGTGATAAAAGAAATACTGTATATATGTATATATCCTCTATAGGTCAAAATACTCGATGTAACACTACAGCGGTGATTCCCAAAGTTGATTGATCGGGGGCCGAAATTAAAAGCGGAAGGGTATTCACGGGCCAGGAGCACCTGCAAGGAGCCAGTATAATCGAATTGTTGCGAATATACTTATGCTTAAACTGTGATAATGATATAACAATTGGCGGTATCTAGAATGTAAAAAGGATAAGACTTTATATATTTATCCAGAGAGAGAGGAAATCTGTAAATCATGGCCTCTCGTCCGATTACCATTCCATGTCTGGTATGAGATTAGTTAGTGGCGAGTGTATTCCTAACGCTTAACACGATGAGCCACACTGCCGTGGCCGAAAAAACATAAAGTGTTGAAACTATTTCACTCAATTTCGACCGGCCCAAGGTTTGGGAACCGCTGCACTAGTGAATGATATCATCCCCATTTAAAATAAATATTGTAATCATCACCGCCTCATTGGTACCAGCCAATATGCAGTGCCAGTTGTCTGTTAGGTAACAAATAAATATTGCATGAGCTTGCACGCACACAGAATGAACAAACAGAAAACAATCTTTGTCCTTGACCAAGTTATACATTAATGAAGACTATATTTTATACAGGATGTGGTGGGTTCGTTCGCTTCATTTAAAACGATACAGGGCTGGCTTAGAGCATTGTAGCGCCGCAGTAAGATTCATACTTCATAAGTTGTGTGCTAATTCTATTGATAATTATTGATAGACTTTATTCACAATGTCTATCATATTGGTAACAAGCAAAAGTTGCGATACAACAGTGGTAGAAGAGGAGGGGTCTGACATAACAACTGCCCAAAAATTAACGAAAATGTGTGGACTACCTTGGATGGGCCTATTTGTTAAAGTAAGTTTCAAACTTTGGGCACTCCGACTCCAGAATTATGTGCACCAAGATGGCGAACACTTGAACTCAGTATGTGTACCAGGATAGAGTTAGGCCATAATTTTATTCCATTTTTTCTTATTTTAGTTCTATTACGAGTTCGGCGACTAGCCAAGTGACTCCTGTAGTATTTGTACCTGAAATTATTGCCTAACCCTAACCAGGTACACATACTATGTTCTGGTGTCCGCCATCTTGGTTCACATACTACATGGGTACTAAACCTCTTATCCTAGTGAGTAGATATGAAATGTATTTTCCGATATTGTTACTTATTTATACATATCTAAAAGAAGATTTTGGCCTGGCTATTTGATATCTTTGCTTATATTTATCGCAAATTTCATCATTCAGAACGGAAGTGGTGTCGAAATCACTATTCCTGTCGGAAGAGCTTTGAACCAACTGCACAGAAATGGATACAGAATTATCGCCTCACATTCTAATCCCAGCGCAGCCGGTGCAACAAGTGGGACATGGACATTGCTCAATGAAAATAAAGATTAGGAGGAAGTTCTGATAGGACAATAAAAAACAACTTAGTGTTGACCAAAAAATTTCGAACATTCATAATATTTGACCTCGACAAATTTGAAAAAACAGCATCGGTTTTATCACAATCAAACAAAAGGTTAGATTCTGACTCCACTATACTGGTAGTCACAGATGGTTTTAAAACATACGTGTGGAATAATTATACAAATTAAAAAAATAATCATTTACTCTGAACATTTTTGCTTACTCTGGTTTGATGAAATGGGTTCTATTTGGGGGGTTGTAAGGCTCAGTGGGTCAATAAAGGAGCAGTGCCATTGCAGGAAAACCTTTTGTGTAGCCGGTATACAGACATGCGTGGATATATAGAACATTCAGGCATAATTACTGTTGTATCAATAAAATTCATCAATTACTGTGGTGAATATGCCCAAATGTCCTTTTAAATCTAATGTAGCACATACAGGATTCAAATTCATAGGTGTCTAAATATATGAGGTTACTTCACTAACATGTAGAGATATATTAATTTGAAAAAAACAAGAAAAAAAAGGATGAATTACTTGGTAAATAAAGCAGAGACATTGTTATGTTTGCGTAATTACAAATGAAAAACGCTCTTTGTCACGAACTTAGTTACAGATTAACTATCATCTCATTTGTACAGCACATAGCCAGCCAGTGAGTCTAATACGACAATTATGTTAAAAACATGTCTGTGAACAGCAGATGCGATATCTTGTTAAGTGGTGGGTTCTCATCCAAAAGCTGTGTAGGGTATATATTTACCCACTGGGGAAAGAAAGGCCAAAAAGACAGTTCAATCCTAGAATAGGATTTTCATATATTTATCCCGGGGAGCGGAAAGCGATCCAAAATTAGAAAATTTATTCAAAACTTCTGTTTGTGCATTTTAGTACTCAGAAATTTTAGTAATTCAGGACTATTTAATATAGCCTTTAGAGCAGGGGTGGCCAACCTTTCACATACCATGCGCCACGTTTTAAACATAATGTTTCAGATGCGCCGTAAATCTCTTGTATTCCCACGCCTAATGTCCGCTTCTTGTTGAAATTATATAAATCTATGATACACACACATATATACACACGTATATGTAGTTTTTACAATTTACAACTTCACATGAATAGAAATTAAGCAAGGAAGTATAATGAATAAAACTGATCAATTTTAAGTACCGCCTTTATGAGACTTTTGCTGCTGTTTTACTTTCGCCAGTTTTTTTATTCTTGGAGTTAAGTTTGTTACTGAGAGGAGCAGTGCATTCTTCAAATTTAAATCTGTAAGTCTTGACCTCGCTTTGCTTTTAATTAGTTTCATGGCAGAAAATGTTTGTTCACATCTATATGTCGTTCCGAAACGACATATAAAACCCTGGACAAATTTTCTCAGTTCTGGAAAATTTTCACGGGGTAACGATTGCCAGAACTTGATCATGTCAGATGCACTTGGGACTGAAGAAAGCTCATCAAATTGAATTTTCAATGATGGATGAGTTTTTCAAGTCAATTAGTTCCAATTGTATATTGCTTGGCATCTTCATTATGGTTAGTTCACTAAGTGAAAATGGGTTTATAAAAGCAAGTATAGAATCTTCTTCTTTTGAAATATCATGAAAACGACTTTCAAATAACTCTTGCAATAACTTGATTTTTTCTGTGTATATTGCCAAATTGCCATTACCAGCAGCACATTCACGGTGTTCTTTTATTTGAGGTACGATTAAGAAGTAAAGTTAGGCGTAATATTGTGACAACAGGCCCTTAGTATCAATCTCTACTCCACTCTACCCTCGATTCTAATTGGCCTTTGCTAATCAGCTGTTTGACCTAGCGTCGCGTGATTTTACTCCAGGGGCTACTTCGGATTAGTACTTGCGTCACAGCAAGCGATTTTACGCTTCGCTTTTGTTGACAACGGTCATTTGAAATTTGGATGGAAAAGGTGGTATTTAGGGGTCATTTTCAGCATGTTGTGGGTTGATTTATAAGAAATTTGTTGGTTGGTTGAAAAAAGGTTGTTCAATGGTTATTGGGAGATATTTGGGAAGTCTGGGCAATGGAAAATCCATGTTTCAAGCTGATAAATGACGATTTTCTATTTTTCCAGAAGTTCTGAACTTTTTACTTCAGTAGAGAAAAAATAGTAAATTTTACTAATTTTTGCTAAAAGTCTAGAATGAATGTCATAAAGTCCATCCAAAATCTAACGTCGATAATCGCCTGTTGTTTCTAATTCCAACAAGCCGTAAGTGGGCGACGTGGAGTAAGAAGAATAGGTTTTAGGTACAATCAAAAGTCACCATGTAAATCGCAAAAAAACGGCTTGGCGTGGAGAAGCCAAGTGCAATTAACAATTTTGGCATGAAAAGGGTTAAAGATGCAATGCGCCACCTCTAATCATGCAATGCGCCACGTTTGGCGCATGCGCCATAGGTTGGCCACCCCTGCTTTAGAGAAACATGAGGTAATTACGCGATCTCTCTCACATGAAATATTCAATCTATGACAACTGAAAGAAATTGAAATGATATTTTATATTAATTTAATACCGTTATTTTAATACACCTTTTGACAGTACAAAATGTCTTGTGTATTGGTCGAATACCAATTCAACCCTTCCAGTACTAATAATTCATGTGTGATAATAAAATACGCAAAAGAAGCGAACAGCACAAGAGATGAGATAAGAGCCGCACTAGCAGACTTGAATCCTTTATCGGTAAGAATACAAAATATTGACCCCTAAAATCATTTGTTTGTGTCACTGCTTTCATCTTTTGTTAAAGGCCCTTTTTTGGTTTCGGTTTCAAAGCTGGGGTCCAGCGTAGTTATTGTACCTTGAGTACTTCTAGTGGGCGTATCATAACGATTTTCGCACATGTCAATCCAACCCCCACCCTACTACGCCATCCAAAAACTAAGTCACTACGACATCATAATAATGTCATAGAGTTTGCCAAAGTATACCGGTACCTAAGATCGTCCGAAATGGCATATGTGCCGACGATAAGGAACTCACCAACGGCAGCGATATCTCTCATATCGGCATCGATGAGAAAAAAAACAGAGAAAGTGCTGGCTCGATTTTGGGTGAGCGTCTACACATCTTGGATGACAGTTCGTATATTTTGAAGGGCCTTATTATGTCACTATGACGTTGTAGTGACGTGATTTTTGGATGACGCAGTCAGATGGCGGTTAGGATTTACAATTGCAAAAATTGTTATGCTACATCCATTAGAAGTACTTGGGGCACGAAACTACACTAGACCCCAAAGCTGTAACTGTTTTAGTTTCAATTTCATGTCGTTCCTCATCTATATTTTTAGGTTTGGCTATTGGAACTAACTATTACAAAAACATAATATTCTCAAAACCTTTTGATTGCCTTACTAATGGTTTGGTCTATTTTAGTATACATGAGTAAAGTAAGAATTTCATATTAATCTAGAAAAAAAAGAAGGCTAATAAACAGCCTGTATGGCAAACCACAACCTCTTGTATGGCCGCCAATCCATATCAGGCATGTAAATAGATACCCAGTTGGTTCTTTCGGATGCGTGGAATAGTTGGAGGAAACTGTAACATAACCGATCAAAGGATAGGCGAACCACCCTACAGCGGCGGGGAGTCCAGCAATCGGCACTGGATATTCATCTTTATTCCTCACTTGTTGCCTATATGGCAAGATATTAGCCACAAACAAAAAAGGTCATTCAAATTTAGATAGGATGATCAAATGACATTGGGCCCAGCCGCCCATATACAGAAACTCTCCCTAACCTGCTGTCTATACTGATATATGGCAGTTCAATAACCCTCCTTGGGAATATATAACAATAAGAATGGCTGTTGGTTGCACTTGTGCCGTTATACCTTTTACCAACTTCTTTGAGTAAGAACAACAATATTTAATAAAGATTTTTTTTAGTTTCCTACTGGACATATCACTATAAAAGATCTTCAAGAGCCAGTGGAAGTTCTGCATCGCCTCCACAGAATCGGATTCCAAATACAATGTTCTCACACATTTGACATCAGCCTTTTTACTATTATAAGCAGTTCAACTAAACAAACTACTTGGACATTAGTAAAATCATTATAGTCGATATTAGAAGCATAAAATGTCTTTATCAGAAGTCGCTAGAAGATCATTGCGTTATTTTTTCACAAGGCCCGATATCTTGCCCACAAAATTTAGGTTCCTTTAACTACCGGAACAGTCCCAAATTAACTAAAACGGAGTAAAATTTCCGCTTAAACCTATCGGATCGGACCTGTAGCTATCTTGAAGTGGGTATTTTATGCACTTCTATGTCATTTTCAGTTAAATCAGCAAACATGGAGGGGAATAGTGGTCAAAAAACGTCTCTCTCTAGCATCCGCTAGCGGATATAAATCCTTAAATTACGTTTTAGTTATTCAGGGTTCGTTCCGGTAATCAAAGACTCTTATTTTTTGCCACTGTCCAATTAGTTTTCCTGAAAGTGACCTGAATGTATATCAAATGACCTTCAGTTATCTACAGTTCCGTTTCGGTAAGTTTGGGTCGATATTCTAATCTACCCTGTTCCGATAATTTGGGGGCCACAAATTTTGCCGTTTCTGTGATTCATGGACACAAGTTCATGCGCATTTACCGCAATAATTTTAATATTTTGCTACACTACTGCTGTATATTTGAAATATTCATTATCCATCTATTCGTTGAAAAGATATGAATTATTGATTCGGAAAACGAATACGATTCTGCTCATTCCTACGTATGGGGCGCGATATTTCATCTCCAAAGTTCTCTGTTTTTATATGATTCACAGATTCTGATATTTTATTTCGTCATGCAAAACCAATATACAATATGAAATAAATAAAAGGCATATAACAAATTACAGAGACGGATATCAGCTTGTTGCAGTAGACGAGGGTCGCGAAGGCTCAAACAGTCATCCAGCCAACGACACCTTGTAGCTGCATTGAAGCAGCAAATATAGCAACAGAATAACTCAATATTAATCATTTACTAAATTCGACACAATCATATAAAAAGAATACCAAAGATTTAATTTTGTTGAACTGTATTTTATAAAACCCACAATTTGGAAATGGTACTTCCGTTCTGCTTTTTGCAAGGTTGCACCGTTGCACTTAAAATAGGTCACATTCTTTATACCTTTTTGTTGCCTCGTTACGCTCGAATGTATTCTCGCCTACGCTTGATTTTGTAGGGCGTAGACGCATAATACAGCTAAAAATGTTACGGTACCGACCTACCAACCATTTGCCGTTTTAGGTTATGTTAACAAGATGTGCAGGTATAGTCTAAGCATGAGATAATTTGTAAGATATTCTAGTCCTGTTGGAAGTTTTTGCAATTTTAAATTATTCGAGTAATTCGTTTATCTTAGCAAACTTTTCAATTTTTTAGAACATTCGTAATATTCAATCCTCGAAAAGTTAGTAAGATCGCTGTATGCCAATTTTTTTTTAAATTTCATCTTTCTATTCAACGAAGAATTCAAATTTTCGCACGGTAAAAGTTTTAATATACCGCAACTGCTAATATTCGAGCCATACACACACAAAAAAAAACGCAAAATCACCAAAATTTTTACTTGTGATCGATTTTTGTATTGCTCGTTTATTCGCGCGTAGATGTAGGCGTGAATTACACGAATATATATTATAACCGTGTATGATTTTGATGATGTATCGTAGACAGAAATTTACAAAGGGGGGAGGGGCTTGCTCTGAGATTTCGATTTGCCAAGTTAGATCAATAAAGCTAGCGGGTCCGCCGAACGTCGGAAAACGTGTGTTTTCATGAGTCCTGAGGGTTTAAAAAGTGTCTCAAGCTACGAAAAATTGCTATGTATGATACAGAAAGATACTTATATTTTTTTAATTTCGAAAGGAAGGGGGGTGAAGGGGGTGAAGGGGGTCCGACTCCCTAAACCACCTCCTAGCTACGCCCCTGTGATGTATATATATATAAACCTATACGAAATTGCTCGCAAAGTAAGCCACCTAAATCGTGATTTTGTACCTAAAAAAATGTGAATTCATTTCTATTACATAATCTTAATATTCCGTTATTATCGTTATATATATATATATCCCATAACATGGACACACTCAATACGTTCTGCATATAATGCCCTGTAATATTAAGAGGGTTTTTCCATATAGCCCTCCAATAACATGAGGTGAAAAATCGCTTCTCTGTTGGTCAGTTAAACACTACTATGCGCTAATAATTTTATATGGTTAGATCCAGATCATGTTTATTTAGTGGAATCACATTACAGAACTAACTATTCTTAACAATAAAGCCGTAATATCGAGTTAAAAAGCGGCCATCATTTTGAATAAGCTATAATTTTATATTGTTAGCACCAGATCATGTTTGTTTGGTAGAATCCTACTTACAGAATTAATTATTATTAACAATAAAACGGTAATTTTAGGTTAAAAAGAAGCAATCATTTTGAACAACCTATTCACCCGAACATATTTTTTACAAGATGTGGTTGGTTCGTTCGTTTCATATATAAAAGTTACAGGGACAGCTTAGACTACTTTAGCTGCACTGCTGCAGTGAGACTCGTACTTGACAGGACCATCCTAATTCTAGGTGATAATTATTGTTAGACTTTTCATAAGAACAGACCTCTATTCAGCACAATGTCCATTATATTGGTAACAAGCACAAGACTCACTACAATAATGATCGAAGTGGAATCGCCTGACGAAAATTTATCGAAAATGTTAGGACTGAGTTGGAACTCCCAAAATCATCAAGTAAGTAACAAATCTTTTATTCTAAAGAGTGGGCATGAAATGTTATTTCTAATATTGTCACTCATCCATACATTGAAACGTTTGGCCTGGTTATCTTCATCCATATTCATCGCAAATTTCATCTTTCAGGGTGGAAGCAGTAGATTTGAATACGACATTTCTATTGGAAAAAGCATTGAACATGCTTCACAAAAATGGATACAGAATCATTGCCTCGCATTATAATGAAAAGGCAGAGAAATACCAATGGGCACATGTGGGACATGGACAATGCTTAAAGAGTAATCAACTAGGAATGTGGGTCAGAGAAATACAGGATAATAAAAAGAGACTTTGTTTCGACAAAAAAGATTTCAAAAGTTCAAAATATTGGACCCAGAATAATTTGAAAAAATACACCGGTTTCAATGACTAGCTAAATAAGGTTTAACTACGAACTTCGCTATGCCAGCTGGTATTTACAGCTGGTTTTAAAACATGTGCAAACGGTTTAACAAATAAAATATAAACTCGCGTTTTTAATTTGAAGTTGTAGGTTCTGGGGGGATTGATAAGGCTCTCTCAGACAAAAACAGCGGTATCATTGAAGAAAACCTTTCCGTACTGGTAAAAATATGTTTCAGATCACGGGTAAAGACGTAAGACGAGATTTTGTGTCGGCTTGAGATTGTTTAAAAATACAGATATAAAATATTTGTGTATATACAGCACATTAGGGCATAGTTACTGTTGTATTGATATAATTCACTACTGCGGTGAATAAGGATAACATAGAATCTACATATTTATCTGAGGCGAGAGGAAAGTCGGAGTAATCATATGACGAACCACGGCCTCTCGTCCAGTTGCCAGTCCATGTTGGGTTTGGGATTAATTAGTCAGATATTTGTTTTCGAAGCATGGACTCGATGGTGGAGCGAAACCGTAACCCACCAGTAGTTAAGAGAACCGCCCTGTGGTGACGAGGAGTCCAGCAATCTTCTCATACATGGGATTCAAATGCCTCATAAATCAAATGTAAACATACAGAATTTAAATTATAAGGGAAACAATAACATAAGGTACTCCACTAACACAAACATATATCAACGCACAGAGAATATAATATTATAAAAAAATTGAGACAAGTTAGAATAAATTAATTGGTATATATATTGAAAAAGCCATTCAAAAACACAATATGTTTGCGTGTTTACAAAAAGCACTCTTTGTCAGCAAACTTGGTTACACATTACCAGGGATGGCCAATTCGAATAAAGTATTCGAATATCACGTTATCCGAATATCGGAATTAGCGTTCATAAGAATATCGGATATTTGTGTGACGTCACACATTTTCGACGACGCTTTCAAGACGTTCGGTTGAATGAAAACATTGCGCGTGAATTGTTTTAATCACTCATCAGCAAATACCGTAACGCCTTTACGTTTGTGTTTTTTTCTCTAAAAACGAAAAATTTTCCACAAATTTGTTCCACGATAACGATGACAATTATTTATTTTTGTACCCGCACAGAATTGTGAATCTGGTAAATACGTTTCATTCGGCGGCGAGTTTCTAGAGACAACGCAACTTTTTGATTGAAAAGCGGCAATTTAAAATACTGAAATAAAACCGTAATCGATATAAGTTTTACTGAGGCCCGCGGAAATTTAAAAAAACGCTTTTTCCAGGCAGTGAAAATCGCAAAATTTCGTGTGGCCTCTGGCACACATTATCTTTGGTCGTCGTTTAGAAACATATCGTCACGAATTCAGGGCGGGATTTGCCTGAATATCCATTACTTTAAATTGCCCGTCGAATAATGATACAAGGTTTGAAACGCGACTTTTTCCCCGGTTCTGAGGATGTATATAATATAATTAATCTAAAGTATATTCAATCAATTTTATTGTGATAAAATAAATTTTACTCTGAGATGTTACAGCAGCTTTAATGGATTTTTCGAACGGTTTTATCTAAAAATAATCAGAGTGGTAGCATTCGATTGAGCGGAGTCACTGATAACAAGCAGGCTACATCTAAATATTTGCCGAATTCGCAAAATAGGGATCAAAAACTTTATTTAATCGGGCAGTTTACCACACGTTTCTATTTTTATGACCGCGGGTGCAATGGTATATAAGAGTGGTGAGGATTTTATTTTGTCGACGCAACCGCAGGTTAAATTAAAGACAAATAAATTAATAAAGCAAGACATTTTAAATATGCCCGAATCGGTCACGAATTCATCACTTTGCCACAACAGAAAAATATGTTTCGTTGTTAATATTATTTGTTGTAAAAGTCGACTCTTTTAACAGGTGGTATAATCGCGGCGATGAATATGTATTTTTAAAATTTACTGCTAAACCTTATATGTATATTCATTGTATGAAACGAAATATACTCTACACTTAACAGGATTTTATATCATTATTTTGAGATTTTTCTAACGGCGATAAGGAATTGGCAAGATTGCAAAAATATGTATTAAAATTAAATACATCAGACAGTTTATCTCGTACTTCTAGGTCACAGATCACCGTGGACGCGAATAGTAATGTTTTTTTTTGACGTAAGAAGAAGCAACCGCGAGTTACGTTGGACACATTAAATTAATATATAAAGATATTTTAGAATCTCGTAGTTCTCATGGATTGAATATTTTACGTAACAGGAAGATCATTATATGCTGAAAAGACGGCTCTTTTAACGAGCGCAGAATCGCGGTGAGTGTTACAGGCGGCAACGGGAATTTCCGATTTCGAAAATTCTGGCTGCGCGGCTGGCAGTGGTGGTCATCAATCCTCTACTAATTTATTTCTAATTTCAAACACAACAACATGTTACAACATAATAACAATATGATTCACATAAATCAATATACAAATATACTGGTAGGAGGTAGAATACTCTAGGCTTAAATATTAGAATTTTCGAAGACAAAATGGATTTTCGATTGTTGTTGCTTGTTTCAGTTGTCTGTATTGCCAATAAATTTTATTACTCTTAGAAAATATACACAATTATCTGAATACAAGTAGTATTTTGTCAATAGACTTGACTATTATCGAAATATCATGGTACCAATGATAGAAAGCGTCAGAC